TGATCTCCCCCCAACATTTCACATACTTACATAAACCTTCAATATCAGTCACACATTTTTCTTCATCACAGCTGGAGCAGGAGATTACTTCGCCGTTTTAACATGTCTGACTCTCCTTCGCCCCCCCAACACACTATGCTGGACTGTGAAGCGGTGACATTAATTGCCATGGTGATTACATGAGCTGATGGGTCTTGCTCACTTGCATGTAAATGTGGTCTAAAGGACCAATAGTGGAGAGCGAGCGAGGGAGAAAGAGAGAGTTTTTCCCTCGTCTGTATGATGAAAGAGCAGTAAATGGTGCTAAAGTGGGGACAGAATGTGCACTAGGTAAATGCTACTCTTTAAAAAAAACACAAAAGACACTCTTAAAAGCGCTTCCAGAATCATTTTTTGGTTCTTGGAAAAACCTTAAAAAACATTGTGAATCAGAAATCGTGACACATATTCATTCTGGACTGTGACATATTAATACGCTTCATTAAGGATGGTCTCTGAGTGCTTTCGCTCAGTGAAAACTCCGAAGATGTTTTAGAGGTGGGCAAAAGTCACAATGATAGGTTGTGATGAATTTGGCTTAAAATGAGCAAATAAACCAACTAATGTGGTTTATTTCTTGATATCATTCCACAATTGCTAGTTTTTTTTGTTTGTTTGTTTTGTTTTTGAGTGTCTTGCCATGAAGTCAGTATGAAGTGCTTCCTGAGCTGGAGAGGTAAAGCACATGTGAATCATGCAGAACTAACATTTTGAAAATGTTCTTTGTGCCAATCCCATCTAATGGCCCTCCTGTTCCTGTTCACTCATCTCTCACAGGAAACTTGCACGTGACAATTAGTTTAAGTGGCATTGATGCCTTAGATCAGAGAGAGAGAGAGAGAGAGAGAGAGACAGTAGAGAAAGAGAGAAAGACCGAGAAAGAGAAAGAGACAGTAGAAAGAGAGAACGAAAGATTGAGAGAGAGAGAAAAGACTGAGAAAGAGATAGAGACAGTAGAAAGAGAGAACGAAAGATTGAGAGAGAGAAAAGACTGAGAAAGAGATAGAGACAGTAGAAAGAGAGAATGAAAGATTGAGGGAGAGAAAGACCGAGAAAGAGAGAGACAGTAGAAAGAGAGAACGAAAGATTAAGAGAGAGAGAGAGAGGGAAAGACTTGGAAAAAAAATGAAAGATTGAGAGAGAGAGAGAGAGAGAGAGAGAGAGAGAGAGAGAGAGAAAGAAAGACTTGGAGAGAGACAGTAGAAAGAGAGAATGAAAGATTAAGAGACAGAGAGAGAGAGAGGGAGAGAGAGGAATTGAGAGGGCATACAAAGGATAGAAAGAAAGAGAAATATAGAAACGGACAAAGGACAGAGAGAGAGAGAGCGAGAGAAAGAGCAAGAGTGGGAAAGAGAAGACAGGACAAGAGATAGCAAATAGAGAGAAAGAAGAAAGAGAGCAAGAGATAGAAAACAGAGAGAGAAGAGAGAGAGACAGAATTGCTTTCATGTCTTCTAACAAAATGTGTCGTCAGTGAAATCAAGGGCGCTGTGCTGCAGTAATGATACATTTTTTTCTATTATATTTTTAAAGACAGAAGTAAAAGTGATTCACATATGTGGGCTGCTTTTTTTTCTATTCCTTCGGGGTGCTCGCTCTCTTTATCGCGATCAGCGGTGGATGATGAACCCCTGACGAGTGGTCCGTTTTTACAGCTAGAGTCGACCGTCTGCCATTTGCATAGATATGCAAACTCCCGGCTCCATCTGAACGCGCTCTCTGATGCTATCAGGCGCCGGAGCATAAATCCAGTCACCTCGCTTTACCTATCTGGGTCATTGTGCACAGCTTCCCTATTGCGGAGGATGTTACACTAACGTTCCGTATGCAAAAAGAAAAAAATAAAATAAAAAAGATTTGTTACTCTGCAATGATTCATATCTCCTCGTGTAAAAGAAGTTAGATGTTTCTGCACTGCTGTATTTACATGACTTTATCCTTGTCTTACCCTTAAGATCTGTCTTACCTTCGGTTTTCCTCCACATAAATACAGCATGTCACCTAGAAGGTGTTGTATGAGACAGTAAAGGGCTTTGTTTCTCTTCACTGCTCCATTTCTAGGTTGCAAATGCTTTGCTGCCATACTTCTCTGTCATCCCTGGCTGTAAAGAACCAGTGACTTTGCCTTTAAGTGGTTTTACCCCTCGTCTCAAAGCAGTTTCAACTCCACATAGTGCTAAATTTACTGAACGTCTGGGTGTTTATATACAAAAAGGCTTTTACCGATGGGACCTGATTTATGTTCTTGGCTCAGATGCTGCTGCAGGCACGATGAACAAGTCTGCACAGTAACTGTTTGTTTCCTCATTATTTGGGCTTAAAAGCACATAAAAAGTGAAATATTGTTATCAACTTAAAGGGGAATGCCACCAATTTTTCAAAATTTCATCAGAATTCAATAATTGAGATGTAAACAAAGTCATTCAGAGTGGTTAATGTATGATGATTCATTGTAGAGAAATTTAGTGATTCAGAGTTCTTCACAGTGGTGGTGATAGGAGTCAGGGGTCACGACACCATTTTATTTACTGTCCAAAACCACCAGTGCACCTACACATTGTTTATACATAATGTGGATAATGGCAGATCTGAAAAATATCTTTTCTTTGGGGACTATTTAGCTTAAAATGCCCTGCATGTACCCCTCTATATTCATTTTAGGTCAAAGGCATAGCTCAAAACTATCATCTCAGCCATAAACATCTTTGTAACCATTTCATGTAAAAGCTTCCTGTGAGGGAACTTTTATAGGCATTAAACACTTCAGATGTCTGGTTGCTATCACCACCACTTTGAACAGTTCTAGGTACTTGATAGGTTTATCTAGAACGAAAGCATTTCACATTAAACCCCTCTGAATGACGTTGCTTACATCTTAACCATTTAAATATGCAGAAACCTTGAAAAATCGTTCTCTGAAAGTTAACCTATGTGAAATAGCACGTTTCCATTAAGAGACTTATTAACACTTAGAAGTCTACTCCTGTCACGTTATTATTATTGAGTAATTATAGAGCTATTATTGTCACTTGGCCGTACATGTAATGGTCATGTAAATGTCATTACATGATTGCATAACATAGTAAGTATGCAATTAATTTGATGTGCAGTCAATTTACATTCTATACCAACAGGCTGGGGTCTGCACTCTCTCTCTCATTTCTTTGCTTGTTTTGATGTAAAACAGACAAATAATATGGCAAACATGTAGAGGATGCTTCCTCCCTCCTCAATACAAGACTGAATAGCCTATGCACAGAAATGTGATACAGATTGAAAGTTTAGAATATGCAGTTTCAGTAAAATATGAGTGAGAAATAATTAAAGGGGAATTCCTTTTTGGTTTACTAAATCATTAGAATGTAAAGTTATTCAAGGTTTGAAATGCTCCATTCTAGAGACACGTACAGGGTCAGAGCTGTTCACAGTGGTGGTGATAGGAACCAGACGTCTGTAGGCCCCAAACGTCTCTAAAAGCTACATCACAGAAAACTGTTACAAGAAATGGTCAGAATCGCTGTAGCGGTTGCCTGACCCATGGAGAGAACGATGACAGCCACAAAAGATATGAAGACAAAGTACAAGTCCCAGGCACCACCTTCCTGCCCTCTCTCATGGCTGTTGTTGGTGCTTATGGGTCGATCAGCTGGTACCAGTGCTTTCCTAGTTCCTCAGTTTATACCTGCCCATGTCTTGGCATGTGTGTCTGGTTTGTAACCTGATAAGATTTGAACCAAATGCATTTACACTTGATAATCAAATGCATCTCAGGTTAGTCAAATGCAAATCTGTTTGCTGTATAGTGCGTAACATGCAAATCAGCTCATATAAAACAACCAGTTGCCTATGTTGTGGTTTTTGCTTTCCATTCCAAACCTGGTTGGCGCTGGAAAATTCAGTTTTGCATGACGTTATTCATTTCTTTACACCAGCTTTACACTGATGTTTACAAGAAGACGGCTTTTTAGAATAATAAGCCTCCTGTGTTAGTCATTGTTGTCAGAGATCATGTGTGTTAAAAGGTTATTTATTGTACAGGGTGATTAACAACAAGGCGAAGGAAAGTTTGGCAAACCAGCGCTGTATTTTTACTAAGGGCCACTGAGGGCTACTCAGTTCAAGTCAGAGGAGAAACTCTCACTAGTTGCTGAACTGAAGGAGCAGTGATGCAGCTGTTTAGTGGCTGCAATCAAGTGGGTGGTCTCTTCCCCTTATGCAGAAAAGCAGAGGGAGGAGTCACATTGTTGGGAGGAGTTTTGGTTGTTGAATGTGGCTTGGAGATACAGATGCAGTTACACTTGGAAAACATCTGGCTAAAATGCATCTCAGAACACCTGGAATGTTTTGGGTTCATTTACACCTGCATTTGTATGTGGATCATCTCTGTCTGGCTCTTGTCCTGATATCCTGAAATTGTGATTTTGGCTTAAAACAACAAAAAAAACAGGGTTTAAAAATTATTTTAAGTCAATGATAAAAAAAGTTGTTTTTTTTTATTATTTTTTTTTATACTACCAAAAAAAGTCTTTTTACTGTGATTTTAACCATTTAAAACTCAGAAGAATATTTTTGCGCCGGTAAATAAATGGCCATGTTTAATCTGTAGACAGTATGATCCCTGGTTCTCATCACCACCATTGTAAAGATATCTGAGTCTGTAGGTTTCTCAGCAATGAACTATTTCACATCAAACCTCCCTGAATGACTTTGCTCAATTATACAGAGATGTCTTTAATATCAAATTAAAGCCTACTTTCAAAACCTTTGGCAATAACTGGGTTAAGCAGATAAAGCACAAAGAGATGAAATTTATTATGTAATAGAACATGGTCATTCACTAGTGTATCATTATGACTGAGCCAGAAAAGCTGACTTTTTCAGACCAAGTAGTGATGTGTGTGTGTTTGTGTGTGTGCATGTGTGCGTATGTGTGTGTGCACGTCCACCTCCTCTCTCACCAGAGACCTCTCGAAATGTCACCCTGGAGGGCCGCTACCACTGCAGAGAGGGTCAGGATATCAGCCTGGGCCAGCTGTGTGACTTCACTCCAGATTGTCCGCAGGGGGATGACGAGGGCGAGGCGTGCCGTAAGTATTACTGCAGAGTACAGGAAGGCCAGGGGGCAGAGAGAGGCAGAGAGTGGTGGGCAGAGGGCAGCGGCTCTCTAATGATGCCACCCAGTGTCCTTCCTTTTAAACAAGGGGTCCAAGGTGCTATTCACATGGTCACTCTGCAGCAATGTGGAGCCCTGACCATCACCCATGCTGTTGTAATCCACTGGCCATTTTCACCACTGACATGCCTTCCCTCTACTGCTCTACCTCTCTCCTGCTGCACTGCTGCTTTAGAGGAACAGTTCAGTGAAAAATCAGACATTACCCTTCCTTACCCTCAGTGTAGTCCATCAGCAAGACATGCTCAGTGTCCAGTGTTTACATCTTTAGTTTTGCACTGGAGGTACAAGACTAATGTAGCTAACAAGTAATGGAAACTTTTATATGATAAAATACAAATATAATGGTAACAATTTACTTGAAGGGTGTCTACATAACACATTCATAACATCTTAAATAAACACTTCATAACATGTTCATGAATGTTTAAATCATACAACATTCATAAAGCATACATGTTTTACATGACATCATTTCTATGTCATTTCACTGAGAAACATTTTTCAAAATAAAGGTTCTCATTTTTTATTTAGAAAAATTATATTATTTTCAGTAAAATGCTCTATTTCTCTTTACCCCCAAGTGCTTTGACACTGAGGCACACCGTCATGCTAAGATTCAGTTGAGTGATTGGTCCTAAGCATATTTATCAGTAATGTATGCCCACGTAGTAAAGTGACATGCAATGCAACACATGCATAAGAAAAAACAGTGATGAAGTGAGGTCATTTTTATTTTAGCTGTCCAGAAATTATGTGTTTTACTGAAAATAAAATACTTTTTTAAAATTAAAAAATGGGGATTTTTATGTTGAAAAATCTCAATAAAATGACACAGTGGTCCATATTAATATCATGTAAACCATGTATACTTCATGAATGTTGATTTAAACATTCATAAACATGTTATGAAGAGTTTATGTAAGATGTTATGACTGTGTTATGTAGGCACCCTTTGAGTAAAGTGTTACCAATATAATGATGTATAAAAAACTGACATAACCTTACATTAATGTTTATAAAGACTTATCAGTCCTAAAAGCTGCTTCAGTCCAAACCAGAAAATGTTCTGGCAGTGTACCTTTGTTCCCTGTAGAGGATATGTTAACTAATTTTTTACTTGGAAAATCTACAAAACGTCGTTTGGCCAGGAGTATTTAAACTTTTGCCTACGACTCTAGGCCTTTTATGACAACAGACATAAACATACATTAGCATTTATAAAGGCTCATTTCAACAAGCATCAGCTATCATAAAGGCTGCTTTAGTCTGTTTCACCCCAGAAAGTACTGACAACTGACGCTTATTAGGATAAGCTGTCACAAATGTTTATGTATATGTCTGCATATGTAAGTTTAGGCTTACATAGGTGTCATGAGGCCTGGCAGTACTGTTTTGCCAAATGTACAAAAGACATTACACAGCTAAAAACAATAGTAGGAGACATCTTGAAGCTTAAATTCAGTTCAGTTCAATTCAGATGTATCTGTGCAGCACATTCCACAAAGCCTAGCCGGCCTAGGGCTGTACTTTTGTCTGTTATATAAATAACAGTGTCATACAGTGTCAGAAACCACATAAGCAAGTCTGTTTGAGATTACATGCAACTTTGGTTGATGATTAAATCATGCAGTTTTCACGGTGTTAACTTCAGTTTCTTGTTAGCTACACTGGCATCATAGCTCCACAATTAAAGAATCAACCTTCAGTTACCAGACATGTCTTGGCTGATCGACTACATTTGGGGTGAGAAGAACGTTGCAGAAATATGATTTTTTGCCAAACTATTTCTTGAAGTAGGCCAAGTATGAGCATATTACTTATCCCTGCTTATCTTTGATGGTCAATGTCTGCGTATTTATGTCCATTCCATTGTAAAACTCTAGAGATCTGGATTCTTTTAATGGACCGATTTAATGATGTGACATTTGTTCCAGATTATGTGAGTGGACCTTATTTCAAATGCAAGTAATGAGTTGTTTTTCTCATCTTGGACTCGTGGACATGACTCATGTTGTAAAAGTTTTAAAAAGTATATCCACCAGGCAAGAAAAGTTACCATGGATACCGTGGTCATATCGCACCTATGAGTCCTATGAGTTGTTAATGATGGTGTATCTTCCAAATGAAGTATTTTGTTTAGGTGCTTCACAGCCTCGCTTCCTCTCCCCCTCCGACTCTGTCATAGACTCATTACGCGTGGACCGTGTGACAGCAACTGTCTCTATTCATTCCAAGGGATTCTGCTCAGGAGCTCAGTAAGGCCCTGATCTGTTTTGTGCCATGGTGCTGTCAAACTTGTCAATCATAGGATTTCTTATCATGCACACTAAGATCCAGCAGCAACCAGGTGCATTCACATTTCCAGAAACTGCACAGTGTCTTCTTAGGGTTCCTGGGTCTTACTTACTGTGCAGTTTTTCATAGGCCACCTACATAGAAACTTCATAACACATAAATAAGCATTAAATAACATATTTATAAAGCAGCATTCCATCATTTTTATACATAGATGATGCCAATAGCCACAAGCTGACCAAGCTGAGTTATATGATATAAATTACACTGTATTGAAGGGCGTTGAACTAAAGTGACACACATTTTTTTCCAGTTGTTATAACACTGTTAAAAAGCATTATTCCCAAATAATAGACAGAGAGTTCCAAATAACAGTTTCTGTTAGGGACTTTTACTTTTGATACTAAAGTAAATTTAAGCAAGCAGTTTTGCACTTTTTTGCTTAAGTAGCAATACAGACAAGCTTCTACTTCTTCCAGAGCAGTGCTTTACCCAGACTGTTTTTACTGTTACTCAAGTACTGCATATATGAAAATATATGTATATTTAAATGTATATATTTATGGGTAAACATGTACGGAAATCGCCTTAGAACTGATAAATGGCGTTCTTAACTAAGCTTTTGCGGTGTAAGTTCAGTTGTTCGGGAATAATGCTTCATAACAATGTTATAAGTAGAGCAAACAACCATCACTTTGGTCACTACAATGTCATTTACCTTTACTATTAATATATCTCATATTTTCTTGCAATTACTGGCAGGGCTGTTCATAACTATTCTAAGTATTGCTTTATAAACATATAATTCAGTGCATATGCATGTGTTATAAAGTCCTTAGTTATGCAGTCCCCAAATAAGTCGTTGCTAATAATATTACATTGTGGTTATACTGCTACTGCTAGTGATTTTAATATGCCGTAGAATACAACACGTTGGATTGGTTTCTCTGACATGGATTCAGCCTAGTTAATATAGTTAGGCTGAACCTGGGTAAGAAGCCTGTTCTGCATTGTTTTTACCAAAATTATTCATGTTTTTGAGTCACTAGTATAAATTGATTCATGAAAGCACCCACAGACATTCGTCTGGAACATCTATAGTTGCACATTTTCACCTCTTTTACCTCATTCAGACTGAATCACACTCGTCTGGTCTGCCCTCCATCACTGCACAGTTTAAACACAACAGATATATTACTGTAAGAGTTATGGAAGGAACAGTAAAGAGTAGGAAAAATGGAGTAAACCTTATAGCCGAATCACTGAGGGTTCTTCCCTCCTCCCAGCACTTTCTTCTGTTTTTCTCAGGAGCACTCCTCCTGCTCCTGCCTGTGCTGAAGGATGGTGCTGAGCCGGTCGATGTGTTTACACTCTCGTGGTTAATGGCAGTCAGCTCCGCGCTGCCTCGTCTCACCTCAGAGGATGATTAGATGCTCTCCAGTCCTGCGTCTCAGATCAATGATGTGCACCAGAAGTAATCAACTTCCATTTGGGCGTATCAGCTGCATTAGGGTACAAAAAATAAGAGATCCAGTTGTAAAATTAGAACATTTGAGGACACTCTATGAATATACTGTTGATGATGTGTTAAGGAGTTCTGTTTTCACTTAACCTGGTGCTATTCATTTATATGCCCCCACCCTCCATTTGTCACCTCTGGGTTCATGTTCAGAAATACGTCCAGTTGCATTCCAGATATTACCCAGAGTAGAATATGGTCCAGGTCTGATTCAGACTGACTCACAGAGCACGTCTCAGCTTTATAGGTGCTGCTTTTACTTGTTCACCTCTTGGGAGCATCATAGAATATATTGCTATTGATTAGTGACTTCATTACTAGCCTATATTGGATGTTTAAGCTCCTTAACAAGAAACCAAATGCTTTGATTGTTATTGTCTTTCAGTCAGTCCTGATTTATTTGTGGGAAAGGTTTCGACAAGGGACCTAACACTTACATAGAAAATAGGGTTTGTCATTTTTTTGGAGCTGTGTCTTTCTTGATTCTTCAGTTAAAGGACGTATTGCTCTTGAAGGTACTTAGTTAACAAGCTCAGTCATTTCACAAGGACAGTGTCTTACCCACTGACGCAGGCTCTGAGTTTTTCATTTGCTGTTCACTTTATTAGAAATATACCTTTGTGTTAACTGAGCACTTATGAGCTTCACCTACCTTCCATCTAGTAATAAACTGGAGTCCGTCTGTTATCACAGTTTGTCATACACTGACAAATTTGTCACGTAACACATAATTTGTCAGCCAGGGTCTACCGTGGCAGTCATCAGTTCCGGTCCTGGAGAGCCAGAGTCCAGCACAATTTGCTGATCTCCTCTCTAACACATCAGCTAAACCTTCCTTTTAATTAAAGGAATGTTTCTTCGATCAGCCAAGAAATGCTTGGTGTCTAAAGTTCAGCTATGAGACTAAGGTTGCTAACAGTAGAAGTCAATAGATGTAAATACATTTTTTGTAAGTACATCCCCAAAATTTAGTTCAACTCACTGATTCCACATCCAGGTATTTATAAATGTCCTGCAGACTTTTTTCAGTTTGGTTTAGGACACAGGATGACCAACTGTGAAGTATAAAACACGGTGTAGCCAAACATTGCGGACAGCTATTTTAGACAGGTTCTATTTCTATTTATAAACATATATCTTTAGTTTGAAAGTTAAAGATTAGCAGTAATTTATAGAACAGAATTTGCGAACATAATCCGTGGCATCCGATGTCTGTGTGATGGGTGCACATGACAGGCAGTCAAAATTTGGCTGTTGTCTAATAGGACCGCACAGTGAAGCTTTGTTCATTTTTATAGCTCACAGCAAGTCATACTGTGTCCTAAACCTTACAAACAAGTCAGTGTGACCTTAATGAAGACCTGGATGGGGATGGAGCAGGTTGAGAGAAGTTCTAGGGATATATTTATGAAAAAAAAAAAAGTGTTTGTTAGCAACATTAGCCTTGTAACTTCAGAACTAAACTAAAAGAAGCAGCATTTGGACACCAAACATGTCTTGGCTGATCAGATTTTGCTGAGCCATTGCTTTAACTGATGAGTTGTATCAAGTGTTTTCAGCCCAAATCTTTGCTGAACGCCAGCACCCTAGTATTGATCACCTTGGCTCTGCGCTATTCATCATTGGTCAGTCCACCAGATATTGTTTGGTGGACCATTCTCAACACAGCAGTGATACTGACATGTTAGTAGTGTATATGGTGCTGGTATGAGTGACATAGTAAGTCAGTGTCACTGCTTGGTTAAAAATGGTCCACCACCCAAACAGTATCCAGCTCTGTGGTCAGAAACTGACCAATAATGAAGGGCTAGAGCATGGCTATCACAAACTGTGCAACAGATGGGCTACAGTCTCTAACTGGACACCAGTAAGGCAGAGCTACAAGTTAGATGTTTCTAATAAAGTGGCCAAGGAGTGCATACCAGCAGGCCCTTTCTTTTTGTACATATTAGAGCTGCGCGTAGCTTGAGGGATAAGATTTACATTCCCTGTGTATTTTTTTTTCCCTTAATGAAGCTCACATCAGTCCCTGTAGCGGTAAACAAATCCAAGAGGATCTGTTGACGGAGCAGCTCCTGGGTGGTTGCTAATAGGGCCTCCTTTTTTTCTCCCCCCTCTACATTCCCGTCTTTTTCGCTTTACCATCTTCTTTAAATGAATGTTCATTTGCACACTGTCTCTGTTGTCTCTGAGGTCCCTGTGCCTCTTGCTTTTTCAGAAGTGTAAGACTGGCCAAAGACTCTCTCTCATCAAAGCTCGCCGGCTCTTGAGCCTTGGGATTAAATTGTTAGCCCATTTTTCTTTCTCTCTTAATCTCGCTTCCTTTCAGTTTGCGCCTGTCTCCTGGGTCGCTCTGTATTCTAGCCATTCTTCTCATCTTGTCCTCTTCTCTTCTGTTTCTTCTGTCTCTTTGCTCTTTTCTCCCTCCAGGTCAGTTCCTCAATGGCAGCTACTGCTCTTTTGAAGACGGCGATTGTGGATGGCAGCTGGTGTCAAGCAGAAGTCCCTACAAGGTGGTCCACCCCTCCCTTCCGAAAGGGCTCAGGAGCAGCTGTCCATCGTCAGGTAGCCACGCTTGAAACTTTGACATGGTCTTTGAGCCCAAAGAGTGCTCATTTGTTTATTATTCATACTCACACGTTTTGTGGTCATTCCCACTGCTAAGTGAGCCGTACCCTGTCTGCCTACACCTGCTGCATTTTGATACCTTTCTTGCTGGGGTACCAAGTGTGTCAAGCCGGAACATGTTGGGTGGAGAAAAAAACACTTTCTAGCCAGAATTACTGTCAGTGACTCTTACATACAACGAAAAGCAGAATGAAAGTCAGACCTTGAAGCACCTCCACTGTTCGTGCTTACTGTTGATGTTACATTTACTAGTCAAGTCATATGACCACACGAGCTAGAGAGAACTCAACCAGGATACTGACAAGTTGTTCTGGGTTCAGGGTGTAACTGTGCTGTACTGTAATGCAATGCCCTGTGAAAAAAACACCTCTAGAGACTGTTTGGCAAAGATATAAGCCATAATTTCAAGGAACGGATGTGCATGTTTTATAAGTCTATGAACATTTAATTGTCTTTTGACCACTGAAACCCTAAAGAGACCTATGTTATGACCTACATTTCAGTTCCTCATTCCAGTGGTTGCTGTCTGATACAGGGGAAGCGCAGATGGCGATAAGCTTATAAAATATTGAGTAGTCGTAAACCATCGTTCAGTAGTTTGGAACTAGTCATATTAAGCCAGCTTTTAAATGCTTTTTTAAATACTTAATAATAGTAAGGATTATAGTAAGGATTTTTTGACATTTAATTCAATAAGTTATTTTTCTACAAATAAGAATAAAGAATGCTTTTGACTGATGAGTCATTCTGGATCTTTTATGAATTATTATGCCTTCAATCTTGATGTAGTAGAGATTTATCAGTCCACAGTTCTGTTCATCATTCTGGATACATCTGACAGTCATGTAAAATACTTATAGTACCAGCTTTTTAGGATAATTTCATGCATTCGTCTGCAAACAAATGAATTTTATTTTATTGTAAACTTAGATTCTAATCTTTTGAATGGTAGTGTAGGCTATCTATCATCTATCCTCTATCAGTGTTGACAACATAGTGTCTAAAAACATTTCTAGCTGCTAAATCACACACTAACAAAAGCCACTAAATAATAGAGTATAATGTAATTATAAGGTAATAAAGTAAAATCTCTATTTTCACAATTTATTCACGGTATTTTACAAAAGTGTGTATTCAGTGGCAAATTTGAGACGATGTTAGTCAGGCACATTACAGTCTGTACTGGCAGTTTGTTATGAAATTTGTGAGCCCCTTTGAGCCCGCCCCTCTGAGAGCTTCACCAATTGTCACACACAGTAGCTGAGCTTCCATGTGGGATAACAGTTACATTCGTGAAAGCCTACAGTCCTTTAGATGTTGAGATTTTTCATATGCAAAATGTATTCCCATGCCCACATGGACTCCCAGTGAAGTCCGGCATTCGGACACGACCCAAATTGATCTTGTAAAAACCTGTTGTCAGATGAACGTTAACCTTTACTTACTAAAACACTGTGCGTTTGAATCTGCCAGTAACTTGCATTGAAGTCTGGCTTCAATAGGATTCGATGAGATGTGCTTCTACTGGCTTCAACGCCCTTCAAGCAAACTATACCTTCTATCAAACACAGCTCACGTCAAACATTCAAACAGCATCAGAATGTAGTAATATGAAGTAGATACTTCACACTTTGTATTTGCTAAAAATACTGAATTTCAGTACAAGTAATGCAGATGCATTGTGTGTGTTTTAGAGCAACCACCTGTGTCTTATTCTCATAACCACATAACTTGCAAACTTGTCGTTATTATATAATTCATAGTTACTGGAAAATTCATAATAAGTGTTAAATAATTCATAAAATATCTGCAAAATAACAAAATAATTACAGAGTAATCAGCTTGCATTGCCTGCCTCACTTTTTTGTGTCCTAATGAGTATAAATGATTCACTCTACACCTTTTGACTCTGAGATGGATAATCAATATGAGTTAAACCCAAAGCAAGTCCACTTCCATCCCTTATCCTTCCACATTACTATGCCTGCCCTGAGTTCATTTCTTTGGAGGTGTTTTGATATGTTTTGTGTGTTGTCTGTTGTGTTGTCTGGCAGGGGCTGTTTTGGCTGTAGAAAGTCAATCCAAAGGTCAACGGGGGTCAGTAGTTGTGCGGAGTCCACTCTTCCTCTACCCTCTGCGGAACGCCCCGTGCATGGTAAGAGCGCAGCAGCGTTATTCTGCATTCTGCCTGCGAACGCAGTGAGCATGCGGTGCCTCAGTGCTGTGGGCTTTGTCTGGATCTCTGAGGAAATTATGTTTAGAGCATTTTTCATCAGGCCTCGTTGCATATCGCTAGCAAATGTATTCCTCTCATTTAAGCACACAGGCAACAATACACACGGTCATTAGCAGGGCACTGCATACTGATAGCACTGATTTGTGTTATATAACGTTTAGGATGCATATGAGGAGGGGCTGGTCAGCAAGACAAGAAGAGAGTGATTAATGTGGCAAAGGCTCGTTTGATAAAATGTCATGGCTAATTGAAATGAGGTGATTAATTGATTCTCCTTATAATAGGCTGAGATGCTATGCCTTTAATTCTTCTTTTATGGTAATTATTTTCATATATTACATGAGAGTTTTTCAGAATTGCAGTTGTTTTGTGTTAAAACAGAGCATATTTCACATTCTGCACATTCCGCATTTAATCTGGTGTCAAGGGCCAAGGTTATATTGGATCTCTTTTTAAGATGAATTGCAAAATTACACTTAACTGTCGTAATGAATACTGCTAGCGTTTGATCGAATCTAATGAGGTTATCGTTACACTATAATTTTAATGGAATTCCGATGTGACAATGTAAAATGTTAATGTCCTTGTCCTTCCAAAAAATTAGCAAAGCCAATTTCCAGTTCCTGGCTGCTGCGAGAGCTTCGACAGGCAGGGTTTTCCTCACAATGCTGAATGCAGGGAGCTCAACCTCATCAATCTGCGCCACAGATGCAAACATACCAATAGAAAAAACTTGGAAGAAGCAGAGAGAAAGAGAGAGATAGAGACAGAAACCCAAGGGCATTTAGAGACAGAAGGCAAAGGCAAGCATGGAAAAGAGAAAGAATGTAAGTGTGTGAAGACTCAGTGAATGAGGATAAGTAGAAAGAGACGCAGACGGAGGGGAAGCAGACAGTTGGCCAGTGTTCTCTGAAGGCTCTGATTGACAGCGTCCGATAGAAGTGAGGTGAAGGCTCACTGTTGTATGTATGAAGCCCAGGGCAATGTGCTAGCACAGCAGGCCATGACAACATCTTGGCGCAGGCCCAGAGACGAGCCGCGACTCTAGATTAGCACTTTCATCCCTCTCTCCTTGGGCACTGCTTCCTGCCTGAGCTCTGTAGTTGGAGAAAGTTCACGTGCTCTAACAGCTGGCTATGTCACGCTTCACAGCGTGCCGCCGCACACATTTCGCAGGAGGAATGTTAATAGCTCCTTCATCACTAAATTACTGTATGCCATAGGGCTGTTTCTTGAGGCAAGATTAAACTTAGTTTTAGGCTAATGGGAGATTTCAAAAGAAAATTACCATTGATAGGATACAGATAGGCTTAATCTGTGCACTAGTATGGAATTTCTGGACTGATAATAAGAATCATTAATTAACATCTTATTGTGGCTGAGTTGGCCAACTTGCATTTTAACCCCTAAAGGATGTCCAGGATCTGTTTGCAGGTCTGGACTTTCATTCCTCACTTGTGTGAGTGTGGAATGGCTCAGGTGTAAACATTTACATGGATTTTCAACTTATCCCAGATGTGGTCAATCAGGCGAGACAGGTTTCTAAATTTTGCTTCTTTAGTTTTATGCTGGATCTATGAGACTAATGTTGCTAACAAACACTAGAAGCCAGTAGTCACCCAAATCTTTTCTGTCTCTCTCAACCCACTTAAACCACATCCAGACTTTAATTAAAAGTTAATGTGGTTTAGGACAGTGTGACGTCACAGTATGAGGAGCTGTCTATAATAGTTTTCTGCAACATTCAGCTACCTGGGGAAGTTTTTATAGCTCACAGTAAGTCATACTGGGTCCTAAACTACACTGCCTTAATGAAGACCTGGACACAGTGTGAGTGGGTTAATAGAAGTTCTGGCCATGTATTTACAGAAAAGATTTGAGTGACTATTGGTTCTAGTGTTTGCTGGCTGTGTTAGCCTCGTAGTTAGCCTCCAGTGCTAAATTATTGCAGTTGCAGTGTTAGGTGAGTATAACGCCAGGGCTCTTATTGGTGTAGTAAAAGTGTTCCTGCTGGATGAGGAACCTTCGACTTTACATATGGGGGGGTGTTGGTCTTAACCACTGAGTACCACAGAACAGAACAGAAATGACCACCACTGGAATCTGTCCATGTGTCAGTATGTGTTAGCCAAAATGAGGCACTCAGTTATCAGCTGTAATTCCAATATTGTCATAATAATAATTAAATTATTTCCTTCCATCAGCTGCTAATATATCGTGCAACCCTAGTGCCCAGCCTGCTCATAATGTACAATAAAAATGTAAAAGAAGCAATAATAATCAGTTCACAGTCAATGATTGAAACCTTAATGCTATTCTTTAAAAGAAAAAAAATATGCCATCTGTCTTTTCATTGTTCATGTATTTAATGCAATTATTTTTAGTCCAAGTTAATCATTGGTTTGCTTGAATTTACTTGACTGTATTATACAGCACCTTGGTTGACGCTTGTTGTCTTAAATGTGCTGTATAAATAAAGGTGGCTTGACTTGACTGTGCATCAATACTCAATGTGACCTGCAGGTACAGTTCCAGGTGTGTGGGAATCCAAGAGGTGCTCTGTCTCTTTGGATTGTGGAGAACAGCACAGGACCTGAGGGCCAAAGAAGTCTATGGAACTCTACCAGCGAAGCCAAGATAGACAAAGGCTGGAGATTCGTCACTTTCCCACTGTTTGGATTGGTCGACTCGTAAGTCCAGCCACATTCTTCCTTATTTGAATTTCAGTGGCTCTGGGTAGCTGGTGTTTTGGCACTTGTTTTTCCAAACTGCATGTGAAGCACACAATACATTACCTCATATCATGAGCTGTACTGCTCAATCTGAACACATAAAAGGTGAAAATCTCTACAAGCTGCATAAATGACTTAACGAGTAGCTGATTTCCAGTCTTTCCGATTGCAGACTTTTTTGTAATTTGCATTCAGTTTTGTGCTAAACCCCACATTCGCCCTGAAATCTTAATGAATCCCACTGGGGCCGGGCCCGCGCTTTGGGCCTGGCCCACCGTATCACTCGCTCCTAAAGAAAGGAAGGAGAGAGAAGAAAAGGAATCAATGTGGAGGGCCTCTGCATTCAACCACACTTTCACTCCAATTAGCAAAGGCACTTGACTTGCGAGAGTGTGGAGTGGAGAAAAAAAAACAGAGGACTGTTTCATCTCTGTGTGCTTGATTGGACTTCCCTCCTTTAGTGCCTGAGCTTTGCTAATGTGGGTCCTCAGAGAGTGATTAAAATTTCATTTTTGGCCTCCTTCTTATTCTTATTCTTCTCCCTTCTACTTTTTTCCCTCTGTCAGTATTGATCATTGTGCATTTCAGTTTCATGGGGTAACATGACCTTCTAACATATGACTCTAGAAGCCCTCAGGTGAGCTTCCAACCAGAGATATTAGTTTGCTGTTGAAATCAAAGTGGAGTGAAGATAATGTCTAGGATATTATAAATGCTGATTTGGAACCACAGGCACTGCAGACAGGATAATAATTTGAAGCATTTACTGCCCTAATGGTCTGTGCTGAACATCTTATGTATAATGCAAAGAATTTGAATAAAGACAAGGTAATTCTGTTTCAGAACATTTAGATCTGTTTGAATACTCATTTTAAGTCTTATCAAATCTTGTATGTAGTCTAAAACCACTGTATGAGGTCATTCCTACCCACAACCATTGGACCAGTTAGTCAACCCATAGCCAGAAAGTGCTTCTGTAGTTAGACATTTTATTTCTTTGAAATCTCATTAACAATTTCTCTAAGTAATATTGTTAATATTCCCTTGCATTCAGTCACATATGTATAACCCCTTAGTTTTTTAGGAGGCCCATAGCCTACATTTGTCTTGCATTTTATCTTTCTATTTTCCCGCCTGTCTTCATTCCTTAGAATTAAACAAGCTATTTTTTACTGTGCCTTTAAGACCGATATATGCAAGTGACCTCGGTTTTGATTGGATGACCTATGTTGTGACTCATTCAGAAAACAGTCCAGGCTTAAACACTCCTTAAAACGTCAGTATGAAAGGGCGAGGCTAAACTACTGTAGGCTGGTTTGATGACATCACAAAAACTATGAAATGGGCTGTTTATGCACATTATTTTCCACGTATAGACTGTATTGAATGGAGAATGAATTGAATAGTTCAAAATTTTAAAAGTTTAATTTGTGGAAAATTCAATTTTCCACTTTTTTTTTCAATTCCTTCACAGTTCAATCATTAAGATGTAAACCAAGTCCATCAAAGTGGTTGGATTTGAAATGCTCCATTCTATTCTCCATTCTTCAAACTTTAAAATGGAAATTGCTTCTTTATTGTTTTTCCTTTTGATCTGTCATTCAAAATATCAACAAAAATATAACCTTTTTTGAAGTACAATGATGAAAATTAATAAATAAATAAATCTGATCGGGAAATAAATGGTTTTCTCAAATTTGTGTGCACCACAATTATTGGCACCCCTTCATTTAATACTTTGTGCGGCCTCCCTTTGCAAAGACATAAGCATCCTACAACGCTTTATGAGACTGGAGAACGCATGACAAAGGATCTGAGCTCATTCCTCCATGCAGAGCCTCCTCAGACACTTCAGATTCTGAGGTCCACGCTGTGGACTCTCCTCTTCAGCTCATCCCACAGGATTTCTGTGGGGTTTAGATTAAAGGACTGGGGTGGCCGTGGCAAAACCTTAATTCTGTGGTCAGTGAACTATTTTTGTGTTGATTTTGAGTCACGCTTTGGATCAGTGTCCTACCGGAAGATCTAAACTATGGCCCAGTTTAAGTGAGGTTTTCATTTTATTTCTGCTGGTTTTTTGAAAGAGTCTGTGATACCATGTACCTGAATAAATTGTCCAGACCTTTTGGAAGACAAACAGCCCCACATTATTGCAGATCGACCACCATTCTTCACAGTGGGGATGGGTTTACTTTTCTGCATTGCTACCTTTGTGTCGACACTAAACTTATTTCAGGTTGCCAAAACCCTATTTTGCTCTCATCTGACCATATAAAACGGCTGACAAACTGCAGAAGCTTGGGTTTGTTGGTCCTTGTGGGCATATAGGTGGTGTTTGACTGTGGTTTGGGAGGTTTTCTGACCCCAAGACCTAACTAATTTCTGTAATTCCCTATCACTATATAAGTTCAACTTATATAGTGCCTTTCTCAGACCCAAGGTTGCTTTACATAGGCAAAAATGATATTGTGACACTTGGTTCTTATCACTGCCAGTATAAAGAAATCTGATTGTAAATTTCTCTTCAGTGAACCACTTCGCATCAAACCACTCTGAATGACTTTGTTTACTTCTCAACAACTGAAATAAGCAAGAATTTTGAAGAACTGGTGAAATTGCCCTTTAAGTAGTATACACTTGGTTTCGTGTGATGTGGACACTTTAAGTCTCTTTTAGGCATCTTGTAAGTCAATTACTCTGCTGTTTCTTTTGGAATTAAGAAAGCATAAACAGTCCTATGCCAAAATTTCGACACCCCAGGCCAAATGACGTTTTGGTTTATTTTCTAAGAAAAAAAAGTTAACACATCTACAGAGAACACACTTCTTCACGCTGTACTGCACCACACAGTTACTGTTTATTAACAAGCAATAAGTTAAACTCAGCTCATAAATTGAAACTGTGTACTACAGTTTGCCTGATAGGATGATCAACAGAATAAGCAATTTGAGCAGAAATATTCAAATTATCATGAACAACTGCATCTATACTGCTATCTGTCTGTCTGTCTGTCTGTCTGTCTGCCTGTCTGTCTTTCACCCTTTAAGCTCCATTTAAAGTGCCGCCCTTTCCAGCTCGAGTTAAGTTAATAAGCCATGGCTGTATCTCCTGTGTCTGTAGATAGGGTGCACTGCTGTGATTTCTGCAAGCGTTATAGAGCTCATTAACTATAGGAACCATTAAGGAGCCAGTTAGCACCAGCACATACTAGTTAGCTTAATAAGTAGCAAATAAAAAACTCTCACACTCTCTCTCTCTCTCTCTCTCTCTCTCTCTCTCTCTCTCTCTCTCTCTCTCTCACTCTCTCTCTCTGTGCTTCTCTTTATCTGCCTAGGTTCTACCTGCAGTTCATTGCAGACATTTCTCCTGACTCTGATGTGGCTTTTGCTGTGGATAATTTCACTCTTAGCATGAACTGCTTCCTTGCAAGTGAGTATTTCTTTTTCTCCAGACTCCTCTCTATCATCCTGGGGGCAATTTTGATGCTATTTGCGGAGCTTTGTCACTTTCATAACAAGTAGTGAACTGGGAAATCCTGCTTCATTTTCATAATTATGTCTGCAGTGGGATTTGAGCCTAAATAAAGTATTTATTTATATATTTATTTATTGCAACTTGATATTTCAGTAATTTACTTTAATAAGGAATTATGCTTCGTTCCTCCAACCTCTGGAGGTTTGATTGCTTGTTTTTTGGAACTGCAGTACTCAGCAGACATTCAAACAGTCCATTTGTTCATCAGAGGAAATGTGTTATTTTGTGTGGTTTGGTCAGTCATTCATAAATATTGCATAAATCTACTCTCTACAAGACAAATAATTATCGCTTCATTATGACAATATTTTAGAACATATTACAGTCTGATGGTATCAGATGATATTTAAGTTCACATTAATAAAGTTAATGAACCTGTGCGTCCTGAGTACGGCTAATCTATGCTAGATGAAAGTCTTACAAACCTGACATAACTTGTTCTGACTGGACTGTGTTCTTCCATTTACTTCTCTTAAAATCACACGAAAGAGAAATTGGGCCCTGTAGAATGCACTTTGCATCAGTTTCAGGCACATGCTATGTATGAAATTCGTGCAAGAGCCTAATCCCGCAGTTTTTTGGGACCATGTGTATGACAAAACGCAAAATGCACGGTTCTTCCTCATGCATACAGTGTTAGAAATAAAGTTTCTGTGCAGGTACATTTTTCATTCATCAAGGTACAAACAATGTAAATATACTTTTAAAGGTACAACAGTGGTTTTAAGTTCCAATTATGTACCTTAAAGAAGTTTTTCCAGGTGAAAAGTACATATTTGCACAATAAGAACAATAGAACAATAAAATAAAAAGCCTGGAGACGAGACGGGGTGTGTGGAGTCAATACAACTTACAACATATGATTTCAATGGATTATGGTACTTTTATGTTCCCTGACTAAAGGTACTGGGATGTACCCTTGATGCTACCACCCCAGTGATAAAAGGGGTACTGCCCCAGAGTGTTGCTTTCTGAGAGTGTGTGCATATTTGTATGCGGTCGTGCAAAGCATGTGAGCATTGTGCAAAAAGTTGCTGGAGGTATTACATGTGCAGCAGGTTACATATTTCACAGAATTTCCACAAGTTTGAGTAACGTGTGGTGCCAGTTTTACGCAGCTTACGTAAGCTGTAAGTTTGTATCAGAGCTGCTCTCACCATGTTGTCAAGAGACTTCTCCTAGCAGACAGCAGTTAGACGGAAACACGAACCTCGAACACATGCTGAAAGAATATTTACCATCAGAATATTTCTCAGGATTAGATGAATGTATGTGAGAAGAAACTTGGAAAGTATGCCACTGCAGTTTGTGCAAGCAGTCTGTGTTATTGGCTCACAAACTCTGTTTTTATTAGCTGGAGTAGAATTAACCCCTGAAAATCCCATACATTACATATCCATCCATCCATCATCTAAACCGCTTATCCTTCTGGGTCGTGGTGGGGTGCTGGAGCCTATCCCAGCTGTCATTGGGCGGAAGGCAGGATACACCCTGGACAGGTCGCCAGTCCATCGCAGGGCAGACAAACAGACATACACATTCACACCTAGGGGCAATTTAGCATGTCCAATCAGCCTGACTGCATGTTTTTGGACTGTGGGAGGAAACCGGAGTACCCGGAGGAAACCCATGCAGACACGGGGAGAATAGGCAAACTCCACACAGAAACGACCCTGGTCACCTGGCCAGGAATCGAACCCAGGCCATTCTTGCTGTGAGGCGACAGCGCTACCCACTGTGCCACCGTGCCGCCATACATTACATACTAATGCTTATTATTCAGCAACTACATGGACTTCAATGCAAATTGTCTGAGTTGTTCTTAGGCTATAGGAGTGTAATAAAGCTTTGAGCTTGCCGGTGGGCCCTGGTCATTTAAGGGGTTAAAGCTGTAGAATGTTTATTGGGAAAGAACTTCATTTATTAACTCAGCTCTCTCTTCATCACTGAACTTTCAGTTTCTCTTTTGTCTCGAGCTCGTTGATGACTCTTCACCTCACGAACAAGCAGGTAGTGGATGGAGCTCTGCACAGTCTGCATGATAATCTGCAACCTGAGTAAATTGAATGTCAAATTAGTTGCATTGTGGGTGCAAATCACAGTTGCAACAAGGAGCATTTTACCCTGCTCCTGCGCTTTTTTCCCCCAAAACACATTATAGTCCACTTTTAAGAATTTCCTTTTTTTGTCAGTGATATAGGTTGTTGGGTGTAGCTTTGCACATACATGAAATATTAATTGCATTATGATTAATAGCACCTTTATTAGTGAAATAATAAAGTTTTTACAAATAGATATGCAGTGTTTTGGAATGAAACTCTTCAAAACTTACCCAGAGCACACTTCCAGAAGTAAAACTTAGGCAACATTTTCTATGAATCCTGTATTCATAATGCATTTATAAAATGTTATATAGTATACATAACACCAACACCTTATAATGCTAGGCATAAGCTTGTATAATTGCTTCTAAGCATTTATAATTACATGCATAACACTTAACAAAGCAAGAGTTTGTGACTGTAAGTTTCCATAATGCATTATAATATCTGTTCATAAGGGCATTGTAGACACTAATTTTGTAATGCACTGTAACTACAAATAACACTTTATAGAGCATTATGGCAGGCTATTACAGGCTGTAAATGAAGTCAGTTTTTTAAATGTCTTTTAAATGTTAAGGACATTTCATTTTAGTAAATTAAACCTTGTAGAGCATTATAAGTGCTCTTTACAGCCTTTAAGTGAAGTGAGATAATTACATCTAACTGGTAGTACAGGGCATAGAGCTTGGTAATTTCTGCATTCAGTAGTAGAGTTTATTGTAAAAATAAATAAATAGAATAAATAATCCATATCTCACATATCGTACCTTCTCCCATAGCTGTAAATGGCAGAAGTAATTATTACTCAAAAAAGCATTGTCTGGGTGTATGCCCAGGTGTGTTGTGGTGCAGAAAATATACCAGAACCTTGAAATTGTATATTATTGCTATAAATTATAATACATTTATAGTCCATTACAATATTTATGTTTACAGTGTTCTTATAAACACATATTATAAAGCGACATTTTCAAGTTGTATGCTCTTGTTTTACAATGTAACTATAGCTGGTTATAAACAGTTATACAAGCTTATGCCAGGTATTATAAGGTATTACGTATGTCATATAATGCATTATAAATGCATTTATAAAGCATTATGAATACTGGATTCATAGGAAGTGTTACCAAAACATACTACTGCTCTTTCTAAACAATTTGAAGCGCCCTAAGATTTGTGAAATGCACCAAATAGAATAAAAAAATAAAAAAAAAACGGCTTAGCAACAGGAACACTGGAATTGTATGGGTAGCAAATCATGGATATAATGTTCATTATCTTTCAAATGCATTGCTTAAATTATCACTAGAACTTAAATGCAATATCATGCTATCTTGTCCAGCACTACAAATAATACACTAAATACCCTAGAATCTTTAATGCTAATGCTTATTAGTGATTCTTTATGATTTAATGATTATCAAGGTCTAATCCTCTTATCAGAAGTAATGTCTGTGCGTTTGTGACCATGAGCTTCCTGTAACTTAGCCAAAGATCTCTCACAGGCGGCTATCGAAACAATACATTTCTAATACTCTTCCTCCTCTGTAAACGTCACAGTTCTCATGATAACATTTCAAACCAAGATTTTTTTTCTGATCAAAACATTTAATACGCTTAGGCAGGATCAAATGACAGGTTGACAACAACCGCCCAGTCATGACTGAACATTTATCGTGAATGGAAGTCATTGAGAACAAAAATGTTCCGTAATTATAGGCCTTCATCCTGCACGCTGACATTTGACCACAGTCAGTCATAACCCGGTAATGTTGTTGGTTTGCCTTTCACAAATGTGCCCTTATAGAGGCATCTAATGATATTCTGTCAGGTAGAGCACATTTCAGCCTCTGCTGTTTGCATCATGCCTTTACTGTGGGAAATATAATCTACAGTGAAGCTGCAGTCATGAGTAGCTCACATATTGAAGCTTGGAAAGATCAAGGAAACTTCTTCTGTGAAATGAGATATAATAAAAATGTGGCCATGTGTGTCGGTGGTACTGGCAGATTAAGAGATAATTGGGATTTGGAACATACAACTACACACCCCAGAAAGCCAAATTTAATTTGTGAAGCGCCATTGAGGAAATCTGTTGCTTGTAAACAGTTTCATTGATCAGATCTGAAGTGATAGTATTTGTGTCCATGTATCTGCTGCCTGAACATCACCTACTGTGAGAATTGACCGTTAGCGCTAAGCATCAATTACCCTTTGTCATTCTGTTGGCTTGAATCTGCAGACATGTCTACCTGTTGCAAACGCTAAAACCCACCCGTTTTGTATGCCGTGGACACAATGCAGGCTAATTTAGGAATAATGCCTATGATACAAGTCCAATAAGACCATTACATTGACTCTGAGAGGGCACTGAGCAGAAAAGCGTGTTCCTTGTTGCGATTGTGAGCGGAATAACAAACACACCGAGCGGCTTCTCTCCCTGAATATGGTGCAGCGGAGAGAAGAACAGAAGTGCTCCTCATTAATGCAAACGGATTGGATTAAAGGAGCTAAGCCCATTTACTTGTGAAGTTGGAGGGAACTGTGGGGGCCCTCTCTTAAGCTAAATCTCCTTAAGTGCTCCTGATTTTGCTTCATCATTTCACTGATTTGATTTTCAGAATGTGTGAGGTCAGTACCGACTAAATAACATATCATCCTTGGCAGGCACTGGCAGCAGTGTTAGAGGAATCTATCTACCACCTGAGAGAGGCAGGAATCTTATTAGAGTATTACAATAACGTTATTTCACCTGCATTAGTATGTTAACATATCGTTTCATTGCCTGGT